AATTAATTATAATTACGGCCTGTCCAAATCTAAATGTCGTTTAATCCGACAGCAAAAATTAATTATAATTTCGGACTGTCCAAAATTAAATGTCGGATTAAACGATTTAGTATAAACTAAATAGTTTATTACATACTACATTAAATATATATATATTTATTAAGTAAACTAACAATAAATATTTAATGACATAATTTTGTCGTGAAAAGAAAATAAGAAGGATTTGACAATGACTCGTGTAACTTTGCGTGTTGCAATTATTTATTTTTATTTTTTATAATATCAATAACCTAGTAGATAAAGTGTTACTGTTATTGTTAATTTGTTACTAATATATCTTTATTAATTACTAACCGAGTTATTTAGTATCGACTTAACTTTACTCTTGCAAAAACTAAAAAAAACAAAAAATCATACACTTCCGCACGAAACATTCATTGATATATGGCAATTATGATCTCACCATTTCCGTTTAAAGTCAAAAATTTCCAAATTAATTAATCGACGAATGAGTGTCACCTGTGATTAAAATCAATTCCAGTTGAATAGTCGGTTGAAATAGACGAAAATGGTGATCAATCTTACACGTTACAAACAATCATATCGCAGTTGCAATTGCTTTGTTTTATGTACACTTATCTTTTATTTTTTTTTGAAAAAGTATGAAGTGTGTGTGTGTTCTCTTTCTCAAAAAAAAACAACAAATCTCTTTTATACTTATATTGTGCAACAAAAATGCAAAACAACGAGAAAAACCAAATAAGAAAGTAATTTCTTAATTTTTTTGTTGCTGTTTTAATCTGTCTACTGTAAGTGGTAGCAACTTAACGAATTCTCTTGACAAACCTATAAATTCGTATTTTTTAAGTTCCTCCTGCTTGTCGGGATGCTCGTCGTAATAATTAACGACAAAACTGTGAGCGTCAATGCTCTTCAGCATGTTCTCTATTCTCTTATCCACGTCAGAAGTTATGATCTTGTTGTACAATCTGCCTATTTGAAAATGCGAGTGCAACGCCTGATGCAGATGCTCGTCCGAGAACGATTCGACCCCGTCGTCAGACTTGTTCGTCTCCAGAGAGTTCAGATGAGACTGATAGTGCTTTATGCTGCTTCGCGCCAAACGTTCGATCTTCGCTACCATCTGCACGGTCGGCTTCTCATCGGACGCCTGCAGACGGTCGATCTTTATGTCCAATATCTCCGAGTAGATCTCCGCCAGCTCGATCCAAATTTCTCTGCAAATTGTTCGATAAAATCGCGGACTCAGTCCCTGAATCACTTTCTCCAGACAATCTATTCGACGTTTGTGCATCTTCGCCTGTCTGTCCTCGTTCATTTCGTAGAACGCGAGATACTTGTACGCCTGCGAGACGTCTTGCGCGATACACGCGTAATCCGACGCGTGATTCTCGAAGGTGTAATAGGTCATCGCTTTGTCCAACCATTTTCGAACGTTGAGAAACACCGGTTTGGCATCGGCGAAGTCCAGCAGATACTTGTCCGTGATCTCGTTGGTAAAAACTTCCAACTGCGGTTCCAAATCCACGAATCTCAGATTCTCCATGGCCTCGCGCATCCGGGGATATTTGCAAACCTCGCTGTCGACTTCCGCGGATTTCGAATTGTTCGGTTCTTCTTCTTCTTCTTCTTCTTCTTCCTCGATTTCCTTGTACAATCTTTCTTTGGACGAGCTCAGAAGAGCTATGCCGTATTTCGCCCAACATCGGGCCACGTCCGCCGATCTGTGATTATAAGTTTCATAATCCGCAGCAACGCTCTCGATCTCCTTCGTACCCTTTGACTCCAAAATCTTGTGGTACTCGTGTAATATACAAGATGCTGCGGCCAGATGATATCTCGCTTGTGAGAATTTCTCGTGTTCAACGAAATACTGAGATATCGTTGCGGCGTTCAAAGCCCACTCGATGTAATCCAAATCTTGCGTTATCTTGTTCTGGCTCAATTGCTTGCTCAACGTTCTGTGACAATACAACGCAAAACTACCTTTGTCGTCCAACTGACGGCTTACTTGGGCCAAGTAATAAAGAGTTAACGTGTGAAGTTTCTCGAGACAACCTCTGGGACACAAATCGCCTTCTATCTCCTCAATTCCCATAATGTTCATCATATTAATCGGATTGCATATAGTATCTTCAGTAAATTTGAAATACAAGATCTCTGCTGTTTCCAAGAAATCTCTAGCTTTGTCGTATAAACCTTTCTGTGCGTACAATATACCCATTTGATTGTTGGCGCTTATGGCTGGCAATATGCCCTCAGGTGTCAGTTTGCTTTCTTCCATCATCTTGATGCACCTCGTGAAATATTCGTTGGCAAGGTCCATATCTTGCATATCGGCTTGTAATATACCTATATTTAAATGAGTTATTGCGATCATCACTGTGCTGCATATTTCTTTGGTGAGCACTTCGAGTATCTCTTCCAAAATTTCCATTGCCTTGGATTTTTTCTCATAAATCACATTCTGATCTTCTTTCACTTCGTGTTCCTTCAGAATCTTTTGAACCTCTTGATATCTTTCCTTCACCCATTGCGAATAATCAACCGTTTTGGTATAATTGTCTTGATCCATTTTGCAGACAAACTAATTTGAAATAATTTTCTAGAGTTAATGTGGTTTTATTATTTTGTGTGTCGTACGTCTTCTTTTCTTCTCTCAACAAGAAAGTTTTCTTTTTCTCAGAGAATTTTTACAAATTTACAATTAGATTCATTTTTTTCACGATTTATATTTTTTACAATCAAGTGTTAGCAATAAATGATACGATCATTGTAGTTGACATCTATTCTGGAACAGAATATGTTTATATTTTTTAAATAGAAAATTCTTAGCAAGTTTGTCGAGCAACTACAGAAACAGATCTTTAAATATTTCAAAAGTTAATATTAAAAAAAAAAAAAAAAAAAAACTGGTCTTTGCACAGTAAAATAGTCTACATATTATTTTTTTAAAATATAACATTGACAATTTTTGAACAATTACTTACAAAGATTTAGAGCATCCATACTAATTATATGTTGAAAACAAACCACTCCCAGTGGAAAATAGTTTATTACATGATGCAAAAGGAACAAGGTGTTATATTCCCTTGAATGTTTCCCGGTCAGAATCAGAATTTGAACCAAAATTCGATACAACGAGTTGGTGCTCGATTCTATTGTCAGTATGTCATTTCAAAAATTATTGCATGTTATAATAATGCGAGTCAAATCACTGAATATAATAATTTTATCAACAGATTCTGTCAAATACAAGTCTGAGAACGGCCATCCCACTTTCTTACAACGCTCTCAGCCGTTAGTTTCGACGCTGTCACAGAGAAGAGTCGAATTTTAACTCTTTTCCGACAGTTCGCCAGCGCTATGTTCGCGACGGTGCGCATTAACAACTACGTAGCCACGTGCGCGAACGGTTTGTCGGTACCCACGAACGCGCCCACGGTTCTATTCCGTACTCTGTTTACGGCACAAACGCTCTGGTTATCTTTTATTTTTTCAGTAATAAACCTTAACTAGACTTACTTCTTATTTATAAATTTATTATACAAATTTGTTACATATAAAGTTCGTTTTTTTCTTTTTTTTTTTTTTTTGTACTTTGGTGTGGCAGCAATTTTTTTATTTCTGATGCAACTTCCAATGCAAATATAAACAAACGAATCCTCAGTCAGAGATTCAGATTAGTACTTTTATACATGTCTCACGTGAAAACTGACAATGTAATCTGCATTGGTACGTTGCACCGAAATTGCAAACGGATCTGTCGGATGGAAAGTAAACGCGACTAATCTTCTCGCCGTTGTTGGCACTGTTCGTCCCAACATACCGGCATACATCTTGAACTTTAAAAGACCCGAGTCGCGTGCGTAAAATCTGTAAAAACAAAAAGATAAAATAGCAAAACGCAGTTTGCACACAGTGTCGTAGAATTTAGAATTGGTGAGATCACCGGAAAGAGATTGACATTACATGAAAAAATACATCGAAAAGATGTAGAGAACAATAAACTTTCTCGTGAGATTTGCTTTTTAAGAGAGAATTGAAAATCAAAAGTTGATATCAGATATTTATTTTTTTTTGTGTCGATATGTTTCTTAAAATATGAAATACACACCGAATCGGATGTTCCCCGCACGCTTTGGGTCGTTCCATCATGGACACGTACTTATCGTCGTAACAAAACAACGACAAATCGAGGTAGGGTGAACTTGAATACGACTGAGCGCATATTGGCAACTGAGCGAGCAATCTTTTTGTCGCTTCCGTAACGCCCCCGTATCTAGCGCTTATTATGGTTTGCTTGAATCTCTGTTGCAACAATCTGTGAAGAACAGATATCCAATAGCAAGCAAAGTTTGTAATTAAATTTGTTTTAGAAATTATTTAAAAAAAAACAAAAAAATGACCCGAGTATCTAAAAGTGACAATTTACAATCTCTTTTTTTTTTTTTTAAGAAACAAGATCTATTAAAATATTTAATTGTGCAGTTGCGACTTATATCGTATAGAATTTGTACCGCAATTTGAAATATCTCGTTATACCTGGCGTATATATTATTAGATGGTGAACACATGTACTGACAATCCGTGGTCATTCTGGCATTTCTGAAGAAGTCACTAAAGTTTTCAAAATGCGTCAACAATTCGGTAGACGCATTGTCATATACCGCCAAAACTTTTGCCTCAACCATATCGTAAACGACCAACAACGCCGGCTGTGCATTCGGCTCGTTTGCTTGCAACGTCGCCACCTCTTCACTCGCGTATCTTATCAGGATGTGATTCGTATCTAACAATTGCATTTTCCACATTCTTAACGAGTTCAGCTGAAAACCATCTCAATTTTATCAATTGTTTCGGTAATCATCCACGGACCGTCGGATAAGAGAACGTTTCTAGACAAGCAAAAACAAAACAAAAAAAAAAAAAAACAAAATACCTGATCGAAGTATTGGTAAAATCGTCTCAGTTCGTACGGATTTTTTGTCACATAACTTATGTACTCCGCTCTTTTGTACAGATACACTAACAGTCTGTGTTTTAGGCTATTTATTGCAGCGTCTTTGAATGGTCTCTGATACGAAGTGTAAACACTCGAGACTAAATATTCGTCGTCCTCCATACAAAACCTAACGCACGTTATTCATATATTATCTAATTTATCAATTTGGTTTTAATTTTTTATTTCAATGACAATCACAATTTGTTAAAAAAAAAAAAACCAAGTAATATAATCCTTATAAAATACCTTCCTATTTTCCTAACATTTATAAACGTGCCATCTATAAAATACCTTCCTATTGTCCTAACATTAATAAACATGCCATCAAAAATTTGAAAGATGTGAATAGTTTGATGCTGTACAGACAAAACTGCCAATATATTTTTGTACAAGTAAAGACCTAAAAAGATAAAAAAATAATTTATACACAAACATTTTTTCTCATACGTGATTTTTTAGCCACTTTGGACTTTGTGCAAAAAATCTTGAGACTTTTATTGCCAAAATTTATTTTTTCTTGTTTTTAAAAAAATTCTCTTTGTTTATCTTTTTACTTGTTCAGTTTAAACACATCAGTTTTGTCAGTAATTAATGTAACAAGAGGAATGTATTTTTTAAATATCATACCTTGGTTATGTGATAAGTAAATTTTGTCCACTTTAAAATGTTTGGTATCACATAACAATCCCCTTTTCAAATCAACAATGTATAAACTGTAATCTTCTAACGGAGACCTAGGATTTGGCGTCAATGCCTCGTTATTGGTATAAATCTATAAAACATATTTGGTCAAAAATATGTTTTCAATGGTACAGTTTGTAATTTGTTCTCAATGAACGGTTTTATTTGTGGTTTTTTTTTTTTTTGTAGAAAGAGTAGGAAATCTTTTCTACCTGATAAAAATGCGGCCTCAGTTCGTCAGGGATATGGGCAGCTGATCCAACAATTACATACCGAGAATCGTCTGAAAACAGGCTGCACTCCCTGTTCAATTGATGATTGCTTTGCATTACTATGTTTATAATCCATTTCACCTACAAATGTTTCAAAGGCTGGTGTACACCAATTTTGGTGGAAGGTTTTTTTTTCTTTTCTAAATTTTTTTTTTTTTATTATCTGCAAAATATAATAGTGATATGTGCCAAAAAAAACTGATTTACCGGAGATTATCTAAGTACCTTAAAAAATCGCGAGAATATATTACTTCTTATGTGAAAACTGTAGTTGTCATTTTTATGGCCAATGTATTCGCCCTCGCAGTTGGCCAAAAGATCGGCAGCGGCTGAGGCTCCGTAATACTCGTAAACCTCAATGCTAGTTTGATCCGCGCTAAAGGCCATTAAGTACTTTCCGTCTGGTGAGAATTTGCGAAGAAAACACGGCGGTTTCTCGACATTCATCACAGTGAAGTTGGGAAACACGTTCTGATAGAACTGTCTCGCCTTGTGAACGTGAGTTCCCGGATAGGAACACGTCATTGTTTCCCTTTGTCGAAGACGTATGACCACATTTTGCGCACCGATCTTACGTGGTCTGATGGGACAAGAGTCTGTCACAAACTCATTGTCATTCCTCATCTCGTTAACTTTTTACTATGCAACAGCGGTAACAATAGAGGCAACGTCCATTGCAACCAATCTGTTCGGAACCTCGTCGTCGTCGTCGGAGCTCTCGGAAACTCCAACGTCACGCGAACCAACTCGGTGAATAACATACATGTGGTTTTACCGACTAACATTGGGTTATGTTCCGCGCTACTTCGCGCACGCGCGCGGGCGCGTCGATTCTCGCGAGTTCGATATTGCGATTCTCGAAATATCGCGCGCTTCGATACGGGCGCGGAGTTATGGCCGGTTTGCGACGCGTACAAGAACTTCGACTCGTTTCTGCGTTTTCGCTGCGATTTTTGTCGTCTCGCGCGCGAATATGCGAGTTGCACGAGTGTGTCGCAAAGTCGGACGTGTGTCGTACGCGACGGTAAGTAATTAACTCGCTCGTTAATAATGCCGATCGAACGAAATTGAGTCACGGCCATGTCGCGACGAGACGCGCCGCGCGCGAGATACGCAACATGGCCGACGCGACGAGATCTTCGTTCGAATCAATCCGCAAGTCTCGCGATTATTGTCGTCGTCTAGCACGCGCAAATACGCGAACGTCGTGAGATATATCTAACGTTTCCCCGGTCGCGATTAATTAGCGTCTAATCTGGCGATCGGCCACTTTGTCGGCGAATTCGGTGTCGCGGCTTCCGTTCGCGCTCCCGCGCAAGAAACAACATGTCGAGTACGCGCGATTACGTTTGTTTAACAAACGGGACGAGTAAAAGAAAATGGACGATGAAAAAATTACACGCGTTACGGAGAAAGAGGCAACCGAAGCAACAAGCAGCGTTAGAAATTCTTACAATCGCGCGACACTGAACGAATAAAAGGTAATCGCAAGTAATATCTTCTTCCAGATCATCATTTGTTGATCTCGATATATCAAATATAATTGAAATTTACTACGTGTCTTGCGCTTCTACAGGTGAACACTGCGAGCCTGGATGTGACTTCTTTCGACGTTGGAACGACCGATCTGTGAGCGCGGAAAGGAGGACGGAAAGGGATCCGGAAAATATGCAAATCTGCAACTTCCCACACAACATACACGTGATTCAATCAACAAAATTCAGTCAACAAAGGAATGTTCTCAAGCGAGCAGCATCAGAATTCGTGGAGTGTACTCAGGTACCGTCTCCTTTATCATCACTTGCTGCTATTTGTGCTTTTATTTTTTTTTACAAACGCTACATATGTACATACGTATAGTTACATTACAAAATAAAAAGAAACGAAATAAGCACATTATTTAAAATTGATTTGACGGTACACAAATATATGTGTGTGTGAAAAGTTGCATTTTCCAAAAATATATCTTTAACTGGTGTATTACAATTTATAAGAGTGTGTTACAATTTTTGAGTTTTACAATTTTACAAGGTTTTTACATATACATTGATACAATAGAATACATACATAATGAAATATGTAAAGCATACGCGCGCGTGACAATATTTCTGGCGAAATTACACTTATTGCATGCTATTCTCCTTATCGCACATTAAACTCTCAGTGAAATTTTATTTACTAATGTTTTACAATTTGAATTCTTATTATTGAAATTTTTTTATAGGTTTTACATACAATAAGTGTAATTTACCTTTACATAAACGGAATTTAATCTACATGCATATGCAATGATTCACATCAGTCAGTGCATTTGCATCTTTCCTAAGTTTAGACCTGCTCTTATATCCTACCTACCTTAAACATCTATCTCAAACATTACTAAATTTATTAATCAGGATTAAGGCTGCATGACACATGCCTTGATCCTAATTTTACAATTTTATTCCTATCTATATCCGGTCTAGAATACTTCCTACCTACTCGGTTAAACAAATTTCCTACCTACCCGGCCTAAACAAATTTTCTACAAAAGCTTGTAGAATTTTACCTACACAGTTTTAGAAAAATTTAAAACCTATCACTATTGTAGATCCCTACCTACACAATTTTAGAAAGATTTAGAACCTCTCACTATTGTAAATCCCTACCTACACCGTTTTAGAAAGATTTAAAACCTATCAATATTTTACGCGAGGGGGGCAATTGTTTTAAAAATACTATAAGTATTATTTTAGATATATTTTAATTTCCCGTCCGAGTTTTTTAAAGTTTAAAGAAAGTTATTATATTCACCCATTGAAATCCTACTCATGTATAAATACATGAGATAGAAAATGAAAAAAGAAAAATATATATTTGAATATATATATATTTGAATATATATTTCAAATATATATTTTTGCAAAGATATAATGGAAAAGAATAAATGTAGAGAATAGATAAAGAGAACATAAGTCTCCAAAAAGAAAAAAGATTCTATATCGGTTCTTTAAGAGAAATTGATATAGAAGTGCAAAAAAATATAAATCTTCAAAAAAATATAAATCTTCAAAAAAATTCTATATCGGTTCTTTAAGAGAAATTGATATAGAAGTGCAAAAATATATAAATCTTCAAAAAAATTCTATATCGGTTCTTTAAGAGAAAATTGATATAGAAATGAAAGTAAATGTAGCAAATATAGATGAATATATATATAAAAAAATATAAAAAAAATAAAAAAAAGCACATATGTACAAGAAATATTATATACAAATATACAAATATATGGAAAGTTTATCAAAAAAGAATATATCGTCACTCTCTACGTAATCTCTAATAATATCAGTGTTACATACCAAAATTTTAGTTTATTGCATAATGACAGAAAGTCGTGTTCTTTATGGTCACCAAATATTTAAAAAAATATTTATAAGTAAACTAAACTTTGCGTTTTGGAGTTACAAAATTATACGAAGTGACGATATATTGAAAAATCAGTGCGATTACTACTCATGCAGAATAATTTATTCTTCTCAAAAATTTTCATTGTAGAGATATGAAATATAATCGATTCTTTAATTCTAAATTATTATTTNTCCTTTATATATGCTCAAATTCTATATCAAGGTATACATAATAATTTTGTATGAGATTGAGATTATCTCATATATGATTGTATCTAATTAAACATCATTAGATACAATCAGAATGTGTCCATATATGAAGGATTTTTTTCCAGATTATTATAAAAGAAACCGTTTCTCAGAATAATTTAATTAAGTTACTATATTTAAAATTTATTAGGCATATAACTTTAAATTTGCTTGTGTGTAAATTATAATACAAATTTAAAGATAATATATATAAAAAAGCAACCTTTCTAACAGTGAGGTGCTTTTTCTGTGAGAAGAATAAATTATTTTTATAATAACGTACCGTTGCGCGGAGTCCCTCGCCGTCCATCGATGTATCTTCAACTCCAGTCCCACGTAGCAATCAGGAACCTACCTTTACTGTCCCACGATGCGAAGGGTGCGCTCCCACGACGAG